TGTTAGGAGTCCCTGGATGGTTCAAATGGGGATGATTTTTAATTAGGAGAATGTGACTGGGACTCATCTCCAACTCACAAATCAGAAGGCCTCCCAGGCTTCCTCCATCATGAGAGTAGAGAATTTGTCTGCATATACTCTTTTCCGGCCCTGTTTCCCACAGCCACCATTCACCAGAAACTGGCACACCGAGATGGCTGCATGAGCAGGTGTATTGTCGTGGTGGCAAAACCAGTGCCCAGTCTGCCACAAATCAGGCCTTTTTTGCCTCACACTGTTATGCAATCTTTTCAGAAAAAGGCACTACACCTCTGCTAGTTAAAATTTTACATCTAGGATCAAAGATAGAAGACGGAAACACATTCCGACAATTTCTCCAGAACATATACAGAGACGAGGCACTTCACAGGGATTAAAAAAACGTTTTAACATATACATATTTTTCTCTTTTAATATCTCTATGCAGGAATCTTAAGAATAAAGTGTCTAGGCATAAAAGCCAAAATTCATGGGTATAATAGCTATATATACTTTTTTTTTCTTTCCTCCCTAATATTAATCCTTTGGGATGAAACTGACACACATAATTGGCCTCAAGGACATCCTGAATTCTAAGTGGAAAAGTGAAAAGAGTAGGCCAGGTTTCCAGCCATCATGACCTGGAGATACGGATGACTAGTTGCTAGGAGACTGCATATAGACTGGACCCATCCCACGTGTTAATAAAGTCCCTGAAAATGTACAGGAGAGAAGGGATGGATTCAAAACCAATGAAACGGTAGTCAGGTCTTCTATTAGTGAGCATAAAACCAGGAAATCAACAGCTAGTCTCGAGAGCAATAAGAGAATAACGCAATTCCCCCCATGGAACCGTCTCATTGTGCTTAGTTTTTGTAACAGAAAGAAGAGGGTAAAACTGAGGTGAGATGGGAAAGCATAGGATATCAAGTGCTTACAAAGGGAGCGTTCTTTAACTTTTCCAATATTCACTAATATTATTTGCTGTAACTTAGATGACACTCAGGAAATGAAATCAAAGGAAACAAATGGTTATATCTGTGGGTACCCAGGGGAAAAAAGAATTTTTTTCAAAGCTATGTATTAAAATTTTTTTTAACAAAATAACCTTATCACCTTTAAAGTACTCTCCAATACACTTAATGTTTGTCAAATCTGCTATTCCATTCTTGCAAACATTTTTCAAACTCATCTGTTTGGATGGCTGACAGCACCTCCCTCGTTTTATTTCCACCTCTTCTAAGTTGTCATATAGCTATAATTTCATGACCCTCTTCATTCCTAGAAACAAAAAGAAGTTACATGGAGTAAGGTCAGATAAGTAAGGTACGTGGGGCAGGAGAGGCAGCTGTTTTTTGCCAGAAAGTGGCACACTGAGATGGCTGCATGAGCAGGTGTATTGTCGTGGTGGCAAAACCAGTACCCAAGCTGCCACAAATCAGGCCTTTTTTGTTGCACACTGTTATGCAATTGTTTCAGAACCTCTAAATAGAAAGCTTGATTAACAGTCTGACCTGTTGGAGCGGACTCTAAATGCACGATCCCCCTCACATCATATCCGGGGTTTAGAGTGGGGATACCCCCTGATATGTGTAATACAAGAGAAGAAATGGGAAGAAGGCATCTGGACTTGTGACGGCAGCCATCCCTGCAACCTTGACAAAGGACATTGACTCCTGTGGAATTGATGAGGAAAGGTCTCTGTTCATTGTAGAAACCTCTTCCTGAACTCCAATTCCAGATTTAGTGACACACGCCCCATTCCTGCTGGCTCACACCAGATACACAAGTACTAAGTTCCAGAATACCACATATTTGGATATTTTCTCATTTTTCTCTGTCTTCTCTTAATCTCTCTTGCCAAAAGTTCCTCTGGAGAAAGACGTTTGCTGATAAGATGATAAGGTTCAGTGGTAGAATATTTGTCTGCCCGGATGGAGATGAGAGTTCAATGCCTAGCCAATGTACCACAAGGATAATCACCAGCTGCCTGTCAGAGAGGAGTTGTGCGTTGATGGGATGCTAAAAGAGCAGAGTTTTCAGACTAATGTAGACTAGAAAATGGCCTTACAATCCAATTCTGAAAAATCAGAAAATAAAGACCCTCTACGTGATCCACAACCGATCAGGGAGAGTGCAGGACTCAAGAATGATTTCTTCTACTGTGCATTCATTTGCTATGAGCTGATACAAACTCAATGTTGGCTAACAAAGGCCCGGAGATGGCACAAGTTCTCCTAGGACCTTCCATCATTGCCACAGCCTAACCCCTCTCCCTCTTATTTCGGACCACCCTATCATGGTTAGCTTTTGAACTGTCGTATAAGTTTTCAGTTTGCACATTGTCTTCTTAACTGTGCCTTTTACTACAGCCTCTTTTTATATTTTAGAAGTAAGCATAAGGAGACAACATGATTATTAATTTGCTAGGCTCAGAGGTAGCAACTCCACGTCAAGGATTGAGAAGCACACATGATTTGTAATACACATTTTCAAAGTAAAATTTCTTAGTGCTTGTAGACTTAGTAATTTTGTGGTTGTTTTTACTTTTGACAACAACCCTTCCCCTTCTATTAATTTTTAAACAACTGGTAGTCAATGCCGGCTATATTTCCTGCCCTGGGCATATTCTTAACTCTTGCATCGTTATGTGTATAATTAAAGTTTACCTGTAAACAACCAAGGGGCGTTGACGTTTTCAATATCGATGATGTTTTACAGGCTTCCATGCAATAAACAAATTCAGAGAAAGGGAAATAAAAAACATCCTGAGTAAGTTGAGCAGAACTTTGAAAGCAGTTCAGAGCTAGGGAAAATGAGTAAAATGCTATCTTGGTTAAAGCACTAATTACTCATTTTTTAAAACATGTATTCATCATTAAATATTGCATGGATACTTTAAAATGTTAATTTCATTGTGCTTTATTAAAAATACTTTATGAATTTATCTTGCTCTTACAGCTCTATCTCTTTCAAATGCCAAGTGTTATGAAATAAACAAAAATAAACAGTCTCTCTTCTAACAAACCCACCCTCCAAAACAAACACATACAAAAACAATGTTACCCTGTTACAGCCTCTTCTCACTCAGCGACATGGTTGGGATCCAAAATCAGATTATTTGTGTGAAAATCAGTGTATGTCAAGATGAAGGATGGCCACATCAGATCACATCATTATACAACTACCAAAGACCATCATTGCATAACTTCCATATTACATAATTACCTAAATGTCAAACTGCCTATCTGCCAAGACACTGAAGTTGGTGTTCTGGCTAAGTTGGCACATAAGCTTTAATTATGACAGCCAGTGTTAATCATCACTAATATGTGTTTTATTCCTGAGCACTTCCTGATTTTCACAGTAATATGCCTACTTTATTTCAAGGACATACATAAAAATGCTATGAAAATATAAGACTGTGTAAACAAATTATTTCCATACTGTGCTGGGCGTCTGAAAGAGCCATATATCAGAGACCTTGTTCTCAGTCTATGCAGATAATTGCCAAGTGCACTGCAGTGTGCCCGACTTAAAAATGTGTGGACGAGAACGGCCTGATTACCTGCCTTCCAATTTGGCTCACAATGAAAGTAGAAAAATTACCTGGCGGCTTTCAGCGCTGCGGCTGCAGTAGCAATAGGCCTTATTTAATAGTTCATTCCAGTCTGAAAACAAAGTGCGTTCTTGGGGGAGAGAGCCACAGCTGGCAGAATCCACACGGGCCCAAATGGTTGTTCTGAATTCTTGGTCAATTGCACAGATTTTTTAACAACAAAAGGATCGTCCTTTCGTACAGCTGAGTTTTATGCCAGCACCACACTTTCCTCCTCTGTCAGTAGGACAGACTCACCCCACACGCAGCAATGCCTGTTCCCTGCTTCACGCGAGCATGGCAGATTAAGTGCCCAGCAAACCACTAAATGGCACCTCCCCGTTCAAGAGGGGCTATCAAGAGACCAGCAATTTGGCCTCTAGGGGATGGGTCCTGCTCTCTGAGCCACCAAGCACCCCTGACTGAGCACGTTGTGAAGTCTCCAGAGGGGACTGACAGAGCTGAGAGGACATGCCTCAGTGACTGGACATCCGGGCAGAAGCCTCGCCTCCATAGTGTGCCTGACTCAGGAATGGGTCTTTTGCAATGCTTGTCAGAAAGCAGGAAGGTTTCACGTTTGTGGAATATAAAAGAGAAAAACTAAGAGAGAAAATACGGGTGTAGCGAGGCCAGGCATATAGAGTGATGCCTTTCATATCTTGACAGGGAAAATACTGCTGTTTTTAGCAGCAAGTGATTGGTTGATGCTGATTTGAAGGAGAACCTGGCAGGGGGCGGTAGGGAGGAGGGCAAAATATGTAGTTAGCAAATAGAAAACCAAATAAAACAAGGAAAAGGCAGAAACTAAAGCCCCAAACAGACCAATCGCGTTTAAAAATGCACAGGAATTAGAAAACAACTTCTGCAATGGGAAGGAATGGCCTTCGCAGCCTTCTGTAGACCAGGGTGTTGTAGTTATATAAACACACACGCACGCACGCACGCACGCACGCACGCACACGACTGGACGCAAAGCAGTGGAGATAGCATGCTAAGCTATATAACAGTCAATAAGAATAATTTGTGAATTATGAAAGGCTCATGAGGGAGTGGGGAGGGAGGGGGAAAATGAGGAGCTGATATTAAGAGCTCAAGTAGAAGGCAAATGTTTTGAGAATGATGATGGCATCAAATGTACATATGTGCTTGACACGATGGATGTATGGATTGTGATAAGAATTGTATGAGTCCCCAATAAAATGATTAAAAAAGAAAGAAATAGGCATAGAATCTTCTGTCAATGTTGGAAACAGACAATTGACTGACTCTGATACAACGAAGGCATCAATATACTGCTCTTGGTGTGATATCATTGGTTTCTCTTTGATTTTGTGAGAATTTGAAATGACTCTTTTAAAGCCCCATGTCCTGTTTCCTTTCGCAGGTGCAAAGAAGGCTACCAAGGAGTCCGCTGTGATCAATTTCTGCCGAAAACAGATTCGATCTTATCAGATCCAAGTAGGTCAAGTCTTTTTTCTTTACCTTCTAGCAAAATGTATAGGTGGCCTTGACTGTGTCAGGCTTGCTCACTAAGATGTTGACAGCAGTGTGTGTCTGAAAACCGGCCAGAATGGAAGCTGGGACAGTCGGTCGTAGAGACTGTTAGAACCTCGGCATTGATGGCCCTGGGTCACCCTTCAGGTCTGGACATGAACTCATTCTTATTATTCAGTGTTCAGTCAAGCAATGGGCATGTAAGAGAAACTATAACACAAGAGAAATTCCCATGCTTATTCAAATGGATCATCAACCATTTGAACTAAAAAGACAATATTTATTCAAGGCAAAGTTAAGAAGGGCTGGGAAAGCAAGAGGAATGCAAACAGGAAACACAGGAAGTAAGTGGGACAAGTGTTACTTCATCCTGGGGATTACAGTCAATGAGTTGAAACGAAATGTAGATGAACGTTGTTGTCATTAGGTGCCATCGAATTGGTTTTGACCTATAGTGACCTTCCAGGCAACAGAATGAAACACTGTCCCGCGCCTGCCTCACAGTGGTGCCCACACTGGAGCCACTCGTTGCAGCCACAGTGTCAGCCCATCGCCTTGGGGACTGGTCTCTTCTGAGCTAGCATCCAAAGCACTTAAGATGAAGTCTCTCCATCATTGCCTCCAAGGACCACTCTGCCTATACTAAGACAGATCAGTTTGTGCTTATAGCAGTCCGTGGTACGTTCAATATTCTTCTCCAACACCAGAATTCAAATAGATTAGATTCTTCTTGGGTGTTCCTTATTCAAGGTCCAACTTTCACATACATAGGAGGCATTGGAAAATACCATGGTTTGGGTCAGGTCCTCCTGAATCCTCAAAGTTACATCTTTTTCCCCCCTAAGACTCTAAAGAAGTCTTGTGTAGCACATTTACCTAATGCAAGAGGTCTTTAGATCAATTGACTGCTGCTTTTGTGAGCATCGATTCTGGATCCAATTAAGACAAAATCCTTGAGAACTTCAAACTTTTCTCCATTTCTCATGTTACCTACTGGTCCATTTGGGAGGATTTGGGTCCTCGTTACACTTAATTGTAATCTGTACTGAACAGTACAAGTGTTGATTTTCATCACCAAATGTTTCAAGTCCTCCTCACTGCCAGCAAGCAAGGTTGTATCACCTGCGTATGAGTCTTCCTCCAACCCTGATGTCACATTCTTTGTCATATAAAGCAGCTTCCCAATGATTTGCTCAGACTACAGTTTGAATAAGCATGGTGTAAGGACACACCCTGTCAAGCACCTTTCCTGAATGTAAACCAGGCAGTATGCCCTTGTTCTGCTCGCATAACTGCCGGTTGAACCATGTACAAATTCCTCAGGAGCACAATGAGGTGTTCTAGAATTCTATTCTCCATAATTTGTTATGACCCACGCAGTGGAAATCCATGGCAGAGTCAATAGATCACAAGTAATCATCTTTCTGGTATTCTCTGCTTGGAGCCAAGATTCAACTGGCACCAGCCATAATCTCCCTTGTTCCATGTCCTCTTCTGAACCTGGCCTGAACCTCTGGCAGCTCCCTGTCCATACACAGCTTCAACCATTTTGGAAGATCTTCAGCAAAATTTTACTTTCATTGATGTCAGATATTCTTCAATAGTTTGAGCATTCTGTTGGGTCACCTTTCATTGGAATGGGCACAAATATGGATCTTCTCCAGTGAGTTGGCCAAGTACATAACTGTCGTCCAAATTTCCTACTATAGACAAGTCTTTCCAGTGTTCCATAACGTGTTGAAACATTTCAATTGGCATTCCATCAATTCCTGAAGCCCTGTTTTTAGCTAATGTGTTTAGCGCAGCTTAAAACGTCTTCCTTCAGCACCATTGGTTCATGCTCCTGAAATGATAGAATGTTGACCAGTTCATTTGGATAAAGTTATCCTGTGTATTTCATCATAGACTAGTTTGCTTGTAGGATCTCTCAGGATTGCAAATCAAGGGTTAAATATTTTCTTGAGTTCTTTCCGCTTAAAATGTGCCGAGAAGGTTCTTCCCTTTTTGGGATACTTTTCTTCCATTTGCTTTGTAGTCTCTATGATTAAGAATAAGATTCAGAGTCTCCTCTGACTTCTATCTTTTCTTCTTTTATGCCTTTTAAAGAATATTTTGCTTTCTTCAGAGTGTTGTTTTTGATGTCGTCTCACAGCGCATCAGGTCCGCTGTCATGAGTGTTCAATGCATTAACTCTGTTCTTGACATTCAGGTGAGACAGATTCACAGTTACATTTTGGCTCTTGTGTATTTATTTTCATTTTCTTCAGCGTAGATATGAACTTACATAGGAGCAATTGATGGCCTGTTCCACAGTCAGCCCCTGGCCTGGTTTTAGCTGCTGAGATTGAGCTTCTCCCACATCTCTTCTTACAGAGTTAGTCGATTTTATTTCTGTGGATTCTATCTGGACAAGTCCATGGGCATGGTTGCCTTTTGTGTCATTAGAAAACATTATTTGCTACGAATAAGGGGTTGGTTTTGCAAAATTCTGTCATGGAATCTCCTGTTTCAATTCTGTCACCAAGTCCGTATTTCCCAACTACTGTTCCATGTTCTTACTTTTGCATTTCATTTGCCAAAAATTATCAAGGAATCTTGGTTGCATGTTTGATCCATTTCTGACTGACGTCCTTAGTAGAATTCATCAATTTCTTTATCATTAGCTTTTGTGGTTGAGGCATACATTTGAATAATAATTGTATTGATTCGATTTCCTGGAAGGCAGATAGATATAATCCTATCACAGACAGCATGGTACTTCAAGAATGATTTTGCAATGTTCCTTTTGACAATGACTGCAACTCCATTCCTCTCGATTGTGTTATTCACAGCATAATAACTCATATGATTTTCTGACTCAAAGGGGTCAATACCAGTTCATTCAGCTCACTAACACCTAGGATATCGATCTTAATGTGCTGTATTTCCATTTTGATGACCTCCGATGATCTTAGATTCATACTTAGTACATTCCAGGTTCTGATGATTAGAAGATTTTTGCAGCTGCTTCTTTCTACCTTAAGTTGTGCCCCATCAGCAAGTTAAGGTATTGAAGGCTCCCCTCCCACAGGCTTTGGCTGACGTATATCACTGTGGTCAATTCCACTCTGAACAATCAGCTCCTCCTCAATCATATTTCACATGTCCTCCAGCCCCAGGGTCCAGCCTCTGGCACAATCGGACAATGTTCAGGTTCCGTTCATTCGGCCTTCGGGATCTGACAGTGTTTCACAGCTCTGCGTAAGATGATCAGTGGCTGAGTCTTTCTTCATGGTCTGTTCTTAGTTTGGAAGCTCTGCCGAAAACTGTTCTCTTTGCTTGACCCTGCTGCCATTTGAAATACCAGTGAGGTCCAGCGCCCAGGATCACAGCAATGCTATATGAATAGTTGAATGGAAAACATACCTGCTGTACAATCTTTCATCCAATTTACACTGAAAGAAAGAAGAGAGAAGAAAAGAAACAGATAGGTCTATTGTATAGACAACTCTGGATGAGTTTGATTCCCCAAACTTTAAGTTATGGTTTTGTTCTTAACTGTTAAACCATGAAATATATATTAAAATATTGAGGAGGGTGGGAGAAACTTCAAAGAACTAACACTGTCCAGATTTTCACCCCTAATGGAGCCTGGCCTTAAGATTCAGTTCTCTACCTGTACTGGGGATTCCAGCAAAGCCTGCTTCCTTTGCTACCCGGCCACTTAAATGCACTTCCATTAGAGAAACAAGACTGTAGAGAAAATAAAATGTGCTTGACACATGGGTGGATGTATGGATTGTGATAAGAGTTGTATAAGCCCCCAATTTGTTTTTTAAAAAAAGAAGAAAGCGAAATCCAGAAAATAAAATAAAGGAGTTGCATTTCCAAAAGTATTATCCAAAGTAAAATCCTCGTGTTTATAATTTGTAATAATATTGAACTTATACATCTTTGTCTTACTGAACAAGGAAACTATGCATATAAAATCACATCAAAAGTTTTCTAAAGTCAAAACCCCATTTCAGCAACATTCTGGGTTAAGTATTGAACTTTTAACTGCAATGTTGGCAATTAAACCTGTAAGACACTCCATGACACAGAAATGAGACAATATGGTTCACTAAGGATTACCAGTGTCGGAAATACCACATAGGTTCCCTATGAATCAGATCTCATCCAGGGCAATGGTTTCCATAGGAATTGTATGTGATTATCATCAATTTCTATACTCGTGAAAAAGTATTTACTTTATCTATATAAAAATACAATTTTGTATTAAAAATGTTGCTTGTTATTAGGGTTTCTATAATGTAAAAAGGTAACTTCCTTTAGCAAAAGGTCTAATTTTACTCAGATTAAAATGTATACTTTATCTGTTCATCATGTTCTACTCTCCCCATAGTTGCTACAATCGAATCACTGCTAAAGAGAGAGAGTTTTTACTGAATCAGCAGTTTAGTTTAGTGAGGACAATGACATGTATTTTCAGATAATAAAGACAATGGTATGTTTGCTGAGTATCAAGCATGCATAGCACATATTTCAGCAACATATTTTGAAGTTGAAGACCAACAATAGTCGCCTTGTCTGTCAGCCAGTTTACATGAGTTTACATGTGCTGCATAGAGAACATTTCACCATCTTTCAAAATCTTTTTTAAATGTGTGTTTTCTTTTTTCCTAGAATTACTAGTGACATTTACCCAAGTAAATGCAAAGTTTCTCAAAAGTAAAAGCTTTTGCTTAATCTAACTGTGTTTTATTTCAGCGAGGGGACCTATTGATTTCTATTTACTTTGAAAATTTAGTTCTTGCAAACAGTGATGGTTGTTGAAAATCAAGTAGCCAAATTAGGCAATTTACCCCGGTCTCAGGGATGTGAGTATCTCTTCCCAGGGGATAACCCAGGCTGGTTGCTGCTGCACGAGGGATTTATATGGGTTAATTTTGTGATCCAGGGTCTTGAAAAATTGTTGTTTAAAA